GAAGATTCAAATCCGTGTCGCTATCGATCTAAACTTCGCGGCAGACAAAGTGCAAACCGTTCGTTCCACAGCGAACGATACGACGTTCGAATCGTCACGAGGAAATTCGTTACTTTGACGATCGTTCCCATCGAAGCTCTTTTTAACGGCGCACAATGAAATGAATCACGTTGTAGGCAATCGTTTGCGATTCATTTAACTTGCTAAGAGATTTCTTCCGGAAACGTCATGGTGCGTTCCAAGTGCCATCCAGAAAAGGAAATTTTCTCGAAAAAGATCCATTTTCAGGAAAGGACGTCCCGTCGCAGTTGAACACAGCTCGCGGATTGTCGTCGTGCTCTTCTTGCCTAAGCCCGTCGTCGACTAACGATCGTTAACACTCTCATAATCATTGTCGCCAGTTGCGCACCGTGAAACCAAATGGCGTGCATAGCGGACCATTCATACATTGTTTACGGTATTTCTCCCCAATTCTGTTCACAATTCGCGCAAAAGTTCTGTTTGTTACGATATCTATTATGCACTTAATCCTGATATAGTCATACAGTTAAAAGAATGTATGATACTTTATATAATAAGTGAATACTGATTAATATGCGTATAACACAAAATAAATAAATATTGACATTTTTGATTGTTGAGTGAGATCTTATGTCGAATAATAATCTTTTGTGAATTTTATACATTCTGTCTCTATGCTTTTTAAATCACGTGCCGGTTACTATTTCATAAAATTGCGTTTTAAGACCAAAAATGTCAATATTTATTTATTCAAAAATATATAAGTTAAAATAGTTTCAGCACATCATATAATTATTACAATTCTTGACATGAAAATAATTATAAATAAAAATTTAAGGCTGGTAAACAGAATACCTAAGAATATATCAATATAATTGCCTATGAGATTAATAATTACAATTATGTATATCAAGTTTTCATTACACAGTTTCGTTAGAACCTGTATTTCACAATTAACACAAGTTCAACCAAAATCAATTTTGAGAATGTAATCAAGTCCCAAATTATTCAAATATTTGTAACTACTAAATAATTAACTCACGCGATTAAATGTAAATTATAAATAAATATTATAAAAAGACGCCTTTGTTTCTACGAGGTTTTTGGCCTCGTTCACTTCAGCAGGCGCAATCCTGGCACGCAGATCACGCGTGGCACGCATCTGCATAATTCACAGGTCGGGACGACACCATCATAGGTGCGTAAGAATATTCAAAAAAGGTGAACGCTGATGAAAGAAAGCTCACCGCATGAATGAGCTCAGTAATGTCCGGTATCGTCGCCGTTATGCGTTACTGGTAAAGCGGGGCTGACGGAAGGATGGCAAAAAGACTCGCCCCTCGGCGCAGGGACAAGAACCACCTCCAAGATATTCGAGCAATTTCAGCCGTAGGAATATTCATGAACGATGCCGCGGTTCCTGGCTGTACTGTTCCGCTTCTATTCACTCGACAGACGAGCCGGTCGAGGTCAGAAGGCTTGCTTTACGAAGCAGGAAATCTGTGCAGATGAGAGGCCAGATAGAGAAAAAAGAAAGAGTGGTCGGAGGCATGGTTTCCGTGGAGCGGAAAATGGGCCGAGAGGGACGTCGTTTCACCGGGGTTAAGCAGTAACATCCGCGCTTCAATTAGCTGGAGTGCGTGGATTAAAGAGCTGATATTACTGTGCAATTTGTCATAGTAACTTGTCTGTTGACCAATCGGTTTGAGCACTTGAATAAAATGTTCGAGATAATCAGGTAGATGAATAATTAGAGGACAATAACTCCTTTTTTTCTTTTACACATGGTGCAATACATCAAAAAATTGCACGATTTTTTACATATTTTGTGTGCACTTACAAAGAATTTTGACTTGTATTAATAAGGAATTGCTTGATAAAATAAATAATAAACATAATTGCTTGATTATCAAAGAGAATAATAATATGCTGCTTTCCTTAGAGAGAGAGAGGAAAGAGCATCAAAAAATAAATTAGTTAAATTATGCGACTTGCTACTCTTTTAATTCGTTATTTCACTCACTCGGAGCACGCTTTAATCCAGTCGTAAAGAAAAACTTAAGAACATTTGCAATACCATCTGAAACTCTGAACCTTGTTCCTGCATAATTTATTTCGCAATGAGAAGCGTCTCGTTCAATCCGAAGAGGAATCTATTTTTGTCGAGGCGAAGAAAGTCAAGAAAATCTTGTTTTGTTCCGATTTCCTTGTCCGATTTTCCGGCCCGCAAACGCTAACTCGCGAAGTCGAAACTCTATCGACGAAACCCTCTCGTGGTCGATGACAAGAGGAATTTCGAACGGTAGTGCGAGACAATTTGCGGAATCGCGATCGCCTTGAGGCTGGGAAATTGAAAACCCATGATTGCAATTTGCGCGCGCGAACACGCTGCACGTCGCGGTAACGTGGCTGAGGGTTGCTCGCATTGTCGTACGATGTGCCAAGTTTCTGCGTTTCGATCGCGTTGCACGTCTCGTTGGATTTCAAAGATGTCTTAAGGCTGCGCATAAATCAGCGGTGCTGTAAACCGCGTTCCATTAAACCGCTGTCCTTATTCATTGTCAGAGCATCCTTGATTCTTGAAAACAATCGTGATTGTATTAAAAAAAGAACAAAAACAAAATTTAAAAAGTTATCTTGGAATTAATTCTAGGTAGTTCAACATTTTTAACTGCTCATTATAAAGTTGTATCGAAATTCTTAGTTCTACTTAAATTTATTGTCAAGAATTTAATTTAGAATCTGTATTTCATTAATTAACACGAGCTTAACCAAAATCAATTTTATTAAAAAATGTAATAAAGTTTCAAACTATTTAAGTACGCCATGTAATGCACAACAAGCATATAGTACAAGCATTATACAATTGTAACAATTGTAAAATTAACTTGTTATAATTCACTGCAAGCTTTCCTAAGCATAAATAAAAGAAAGTGCTGATCGATACGCGTCGATCGCGAAAAAGTCATTACGTTATTTTCATGCCGGCTGAACAATGCGTATCGAACAAAGCTCAAAACACAATATTCTTGGTTACTACAAAATTGGGACTTCTAGGCACAAAAACCGATCTTGATGGTGCGATCATATCATGTAATATCATAAGTGTATCGCTACACTGCATTTATCTCGTATTAACTGTCGATATAATCTTCCGTACAAATTGTTTTATTTTGTTATCGTTTACGGCCAGAAAAAAATTACGATTAGAAACGATTAGAAATATTTGTTTGTGACTTTTAATTAGCAGATCTAATCGGTATAATTGTTGAAAAACTTCGTTTGATCCATTTTCCTACATCTTTATTTTAGATTTCTTTAATCCATAGGCGATTCTTAAAGAACTGCCATAATTTTAAATATTTATACTTTCTTAGATTTCAGATTTTTAATCCTTTATAACTTAAGGTTTGTAGAGATCCTTACAATTTTTCTTAAGCAAAAGTTAACTTTTAGTTGGTGAATAATTCATGTATAAAAAAGTGCGGACAAACTAGTCTGTTAATTTTGATATAATTATGGATGATTACATAATTTGTGTACAGTATTTAATATGAATACGTGCACAAAAAAGAAAACTATAACCGATTGAAAAATAAAAAAAGGATATAGCAGAAAAATAATTCGCAGACATTAATGACCGGCGCGAGGGATCTCATTCACATCACGCAATCGATTCGTTTCTTTTATCATACCATCATTAATATCTGTGATCAACCACCAAACGATCTTTTATTAACGAGACACAAGGCGGCGAACAAAGAGGACGATATACGTTTGAGATGACAGTAGTGCTAATCGGCGCTCCCCCTTCAGGTCGTCCCTTGCACCGGAAGTGTCACCGAAGGTTGAATTTACGGTCGAGAACGGGTTCAGCAGGGGTTACCGGATCCCCGGCCGTACACATTTCGGCTCCAGAACTTTTTGGAAATTTATTACATTACAGTAATATCTATCACCTCGCTGACGCTTCCGTTAAGCAGAAGAGAAACAGGTCTGTTTTGAATAACACGATCTATCTAATAATATTTAACCGTATTAAGTTATGCAACAAAGAATCGGTAAATATCTGTCGCGACTTATTACATATGTAGCATCGAAGACTTACGATAGATTGCAATTTCCACATATTTTAAACGTTTTAAAAGATCATTTAACGATCATAAGCTTATTTGTTTCAAGTGTTTTCTATGTTTTTATACACTCTTGCGTTCTTCCCTTTTTCAAAGATCTGAAAGATGCGTGCCTTGTGTAAGAAAAGTATAGAAAATATATGACGTAAACAAATCTTATATCTGTCATCACGACATCGTTTGCCTTCCATTAATAGCTGTCTATCTCAGTCCATTAGCCGACATTTGCGGTTTATATCACTCAATCAAAAAGTAGCTATCTCTACGTAAAAATTGCTGATCTAATTCATGGAAAATTTTGTCTTTGCGTGCACTAAATATTGTGTTGCCTTTGCTTAAACTTCGTATTTTCGTGTCATCCATCAAAATACCCATCAATAAACATTTCCGGAAAAAATACAGATAAATCGCGGGTCCGTGAAAACGACGCTAGCGAATTCGAGTACAGTGGGTTATCGATCTATATTCCCCGCTGTACTATATGTATTTAATTTACAATACGTTTTATGAGCCACGATTAACCATGCCCGAGCATTAACACGCCAGAAACGCCAACGACAGTGATGCATGTGCCGAAAAAGCTGCACTATAAAAGACACTCGCGTCTGACAATTCTAATAATTGGATGCACGCGCCCATAATTGAAATAAAACCGTAGAATACGCCCCGCGTTAACGGACTATTTGGATGGAAATTTATGTCGTTAATAAGGTACAAAGCTCTTAGCAAACGCAAAAAGCGCCTACCCGCGCCGACGCCGGAGGGTAGATTTATGACCGCAGCAGGAGGGCTGGCCGTGCTGGTTCGACAAAAGTTAACCGTTTTTCTCGTTTATTTTCGTTGCAGGGCCACCCATGGTTCATCCGTCGAGTCAAACGGTAACGGCGAACGAGGGCGAGCCCCTGGACATCATCGTCGAGTTCTGTGCCCGGCCGAGCTACACAAAGGTTCTCTGGATATCGGAGGAGCGTGTGTATACGCCGGATGCACCCTCCCGCGACGGGGTTCGAGCACTCGCAATCGAGGTAAATTTGCACCCTTTAAAAAAAACTAAAAAAATAACGCCAACGTGTACACGCGTCCCTCGTTGTATTAAACATTTGTATTATACAAAAGATTTAAGATTAAAAACTAGCCTCAATTTATACTTGTCAATTGCATCTAATGTTTTAACATTTTATACTTTTACACACTAATTAATAAATCCTTTTGTCATGTGCGTATAAAAGATTTTATGTAAAAAAACTGACGTGTCAACTAAATTCTGTAAAATTAAAATTACTATAATTCTTTAATATGAAAGCTATTATATTGTCAAATAAAATTGCGCAAAAATTTTATAATATCAAAAGCTGACAGCTATATAGATTTATAATATTTATTTCTTTTAATTGACAAGCTCAAATATTTAAAAAATTTTTATGTACAAAACTACTTAGCACTGCTGGACCTATAAATATTTTTAGTCAATAAGTAATGGATAGATACTTTAGTCACATAAGATATAGGTCTCTACAGCTATTAGAAAAAGTTAAATGTTAAAATTATATACTTTTGCGCATACAATAATATAATTAATAGAACACTTATTTTAATAATAAATTTGACATTGTACATTAAATGCGCATTTCCAAACGAAAAATTTATTGAAAAAATATATTCGAGAAGAAACACATGTTAGTTTCTCTAGAAGTTTAATATCATCGCGGCGAATGACGAACACAAAAAATTTTTTTATTGCTTCGAAATAATTACAACTTTTGTAATCTGATCATTTTGTTAATTGTTTCCCTCTATTAAAAAAAAAAAAACATTTTTATTCTCGTATACTTGCGAGTAAACTAATTTATTGTTCTTTTCAAGCACGCTTCAAGTCGCATTTCCACTTTACAGGAGAAAAATAATTATAAATAACAAATACGCACAGAAATTACAGAAATTACAAACTTTACTTTACGAATAAGTAAATAAATAATATGCACCAGAATTGCATAAGAAGTAAGTTGATCATATATTTACAGTTTGTAAATATTTGGTATCCATTATTGCACATTGTAGCAATATTTAGCGGCTTAATGCGCTAAATTATTTGAATATTCCTTATTCACGTAAAATTATACAATGTTTTATCGCAGTGTATGAAATAACTAATTGCTATTTCTATCAGTCGTAGATGTAATTACATGCATTATAATTACATATATTAACGAAAACTGCGTTGCTTTTTACTAAGCTTATTGATTCAGGTCTGCAAAACTGGATGAAATAACAGAATTTTATTAAAAGGAGTGATCTGATTTACTCTGTTTTGCGTGGATAATTTTTTTTTTTCGGCAATCTCGTGCTCTCGTGCGCTGTAAAAATGCCGCGCAAAAATGCAATTCGCGCGTCCGCTGAAAATCCGTTGTCTTTTGTAACACGGGGATGACGTTCGTATCCGCTCGGGGATTACACGCTCTCCCGGGGGCGTGGTTGGTCCTTCGACGCGAAAATTATGCCGCTATCCCGGCGCGGACGTTCGCGCGATATCCGAGGTATTGCGACGCGACTCGACAAAGCAGAGGGAGAAAGCTGCCGAGAGGGCCGGCAACGGCCACGCTCACCTTTCGCTCGTGAGAACGGCGGAAAGGGGGTGCGGAAGCGGCAGTAGGGACGGTGATGAGATACTACGGGAATGTATGCAGGCCAGTTCGCGCGTATGCATATACGCGCGCTTATTTCATTTCCACAGCCAAGCGCACTTCTTTTTCCGCCCGAGCGGAGACGGAATCCGCGCGCGCGCGCGAGCGCGAGCGTGCGCGCGTGGAGGAAGCCGCATCATAAAGGACGGATTAACCATTTTTCCAGGAGTGCCGGGCGGACGCGGACAATGCGACGGAGCTTTGCGAGGGATTTGCCGATGCACCCGGCGTTGCGTTTGTTTTTATTAACGTTTGATCCTCTTCGCTATGTGAGCGCGATAGGGACGCGCAGTACGATTTCGCGGTGCGAGTAACGATTGGCTCGGTCGATTCCATTGAAAATTGCGGACTTTATTGGGAAGCACGACGATGCCAGCACGATGTAGCGTCGTGTTTACATTACTGTAGTGGCGGATCTCGCGTCCGTAGATAATATTTGTGAAAATACATCTTACACGGATTACAGCATCCGCACGCATTATTCCCCCGCAGCGTTGGACTTTAAATAACGCGTGGCGAACGTAAACCAGGCATCGATGTTATCAGCGATTTGCGCGGAACAAAATATCGTATTTTAAGAAATAATACAAAATGTAATTACGATTTCCAGCTGGTGTAGATTCTTTCTGATCATCGAATATTGCGATAATATTATCGGATATTATTAAGATGCTTTTGAGAATGTACTTCATATGCAAAATATTTTCATAGCGCCGTTTATGTATCGATCTTCTTTTCGCGATAGTATTCTACTGAAGGCTATTGTACGTATCGTATGGAAACTTTTAAAAAACTTCTGCATAGCATTGAATGGTGATTTTATTGCTGAATGATGAAAACTGTAGATACAGAGCAAAGTCGATCGTAACGAATAAAAAAAATATATTTTTGTGTTTGAAACATTTATTAATTATTAAATAACTTTGTTGTATTTAATCGGAAAGCTATATGATTGTATTTCTCACACAGAGATACTTAAATATATTTACTTTATTTCATATATCACAATATCCATTATTTTCATAAGGACTATACTGTAAACGGACATAGGTAGCGCAAACAGAGATAGACCGACAACAATTTATGCTTATTCTATCATATATAATTTTATATGTTAGCATATTTCTGTATATAAATTAACTTAAAAAAAGTTGTAATTATAATAAAAGAATTTACGAATAAAGGCCAAAATATAGCCTAAGAAAAGTTACTAAAATAGATTTAAAAATTTTCAACTATAAGGGAGAATAGAAAATCAG